GTAAATGCATGCCTATATGCATATGTGCGGCTGTCTAAACTCCTTGTATGTCGCAATGGACACCGCAAATTTGGGAGGTCCCCATCGCTTCACACATGTTTCCATGTTTGGTTGTTCCAGGGCATCGCTCTTACGTATGCTCAATTACGGGTCTGGAAGACAGGGCGCAGAGCTGGTTCAAGGCAGCCTACAACAGCACTCAACATTCGTAAGAGTAGCAACAAGGGATGAGAGTAGGCCTGCAACAACTTTCTTTGATTTGCGGTAAGGACTTCAGAGCTTGTTTCAGAACCTTGTAGCCGTTGCCTTTTTCTGTGGAGCACTGCCTTCTTCTCCGCTGCTGCTTTCTGCGCCCTCTGTATTTTTTGATACTTGCGGACAGCTTCTTCCATGTCTGGCAACTAAATGGGCAACTGTTCAACTTGGTGACCTTTGGGCATCGCTGAGGGCATCGTTTGGGCATCGCTTTGGGCATCGCTTTGGCGCCCATCTTCTTTGAAAAATGGTTTTGCTTCAAGCATGGCCACCCAGAGCTTCAAACAGCGGCAACCGACAATGGTTTCTCTTCAGCCAGAAGCTGCCAAGTCCTGATGTAATGGGTTTCCGTTGTTTGGAGGGTCTCCATTCCGGCTTGAACCTCCACGATCAAGCGAAGCAAGCAACTTCACTCTGCAAAAGTTAATGTATGCAAAACAAGGGCGTCGCTTTTGGGAGGTCCCCATCGTTTCCCACAGGAAACCTGCACTTTTGGAAAACCGATGTCCACCGAATACATATCTCCATTGACGCGAGTTTTGACGGTTGCTCATATAGTATAATATTTGCGCGTGTGCATTCATTGCGCTACGTTAAACACCTATGTACAAATGCAAGTTAAGCATGCATGTTTACAAAGGCGTTGCCACTGACTTGAAATTGGTAAACATTTCTTGGAGCAGGGGTGAAAGGTGGCTCTCCGGGGTTCTCTTCAAGTCACTCTGGCTTTGGGCAGCCTGAAGCTGGTACAAAAAAGAAACCAGCGGCTATTCCAGGGGGGGGAGCCTTTGCCGGCTTGGATTCCAAGGGGTGTTCTTACAATGATGTGAGGCTCCAGCATCTGGTCTCAGTTGCCCAGTGAAGCTCCATGTTGACCGCCCCAACCGGACGCTTACACTGCTCGTCACTCGGGTTCAGAGGCGGTGACTGCCTGCTCAGGACGGGACATGGGGTTGAACCTAAGACATCTAAGACCTCCCTTGCCAGGAGCCAAACCGTTTTCCCCATGAAAGCTATGGATGGGGCCTCTGCCCGGCGATGCCCGGGCTCATTCAGTTGGTTTTAAAGGCACGCCCTGCCCGCCAAAGACTGGGGTGTTTGTGTATTTTTTGCCTTGCCCGACCCTGGCACAGCCTGGTGCGCACGCAAGGGTGGCATTGAGAAGTCTACAGTTTAGGATGGATTAATGGTGGGTTTCAGGTAGGCTTAGGATAGGTGTATGGTAAGTTTAGGGTTAGTTGGGGCAGGTTTAAGGTGAGTTAGGGCGGGCTTAGAGTAGGTTTAGGTAGGTTCAGGGTGGGTTAGGGTAGGATTAGGGTCAGTGTAGGGTAGGTTCAGGGGGTTCAGTGTGAGAGTTTAGGGAAGGTTTAGGATAAACTTGCCGTGTTGCTGGGCCTTTGTTGGCTTGGGGTTGGTTTAGGGCGCGCGGGTTTGGAGTGCTAGATTTAGGCCAGCTTTAGGGCAGGGGACTTGTGTAGCGTCGTTAGGGCAGGTTGAAGGGCGCAGCTCCCGCCGGTTTCCGGTAGAAAACACATAAGAACCCTGCATGAATGCATGCTGCCAACCAACCAACCAACCAACCAACCAACCAACCAACGAACGAACGAACCAACCCACCCACCCACCCACCCACCCACCCACCCACCCACCAACCAACAAGCCAGCCAGCCAGCCAGCCAGCCAGCCAGCCTGGCACAACACAAAAAAAACTCTTCCCCCTCCAAAAAGGGGACAAAAAAAAGGGGAGCCATACGTTGGGCAACTGGGTGGCTGACAAAGGGTAGTTCCACCGTGGTAGGTGCCGCGGAGCCCCTTCGGAAATCCAGTTCAACTTCCTCAGTGTCCCCCCAAAAAAAAGTGACATCTGCCAGTGAGCCTTATTGAGGGTTCCTCATATGTCACCTTACGCAGCACCCCACCCAAACCTCGTCTTTCAATTGCCTGCAAGGTATTCAAACCTCCCAAAGAAGGGAATCATAGGGACCTCTTGCCGGGTCCAAATCTGGGGCACCAGCCAGTGTCTCCGGAGCGCATCGCCGCTCGGTGGCCTCAGCGTGGCACAAACCGGCAGGTTCCTCTGCCGTTGCCTTGGTGTGGCTCTGAGTCAAAGCCTAAAGATCAAACCGAATGGCCAGCCACGGGGTGGCAAACTGACTCCCAGTTCCTGAAGGGAATGACAACTACTGTCTGGGGTCTGAAAATTTGTGTTGACGAAACGAGGAGCCTTTGTACAAGGGCGTGGCGCTCCTCTTTTTTCGGAGTGCCCAAAATGGAAAGCCATCTGACCTGTTGGAACTCGGGACCCAATGCCACGCTTTCAACAGCTGAAGTCTCCGAGTGTGAAATGGGTGCGTCTTTTTTTGTGATGGTACTCCCGTTGTGTGGTTTAAGGGTCGCCAAAAGGAAAGCCACCATTTTGGGCGCTCGCCCAAAATGAGAAACACGGCCAAGCAAGAAATCCCCCACTTAATCCCCTTCGTGGATGAGCCTGGCATAAGGTATCTCCAACTAAGCTCGTGATATTTTACCGGATTCTCTGCATGCGCACCGGTTTGGCTGGCAATTGCGGTTCAACCGGTTTCACACTTAAGCTCCAAACTCTTGTTGCGCCTTAAGCTTCCCTTGCCAAAGAAGCACACGCCCAAACGCTGCAAAAGTCTGAAAACCAAAAGGTCAGTTTTGGGGTGACTCACCGTGGGCAACTGGACACTCAGCCAACCCAGCATCTTTACCCATTTGCCGTTTGTGTCTCCCTGTGCCGGCTGCAAAACCAACCAAAACACCACCCAAAGAGGTGTGAAAGAAAAAAACGTGAATGCCGAAAACAAGCACACCTTTGCTTCTGGCATGCCTTGCTAGCCCAAGAGAATTAGTAGGGCCCCCCGCGAGCTTAAGGAAGTCATCTGGCACCTGCGGCTGCAAGCCGAAAATGGTCCCCTGTCGCGCCCGCTGATGGGCGAACAAGTCCGAAGCTTCCGTGTTAATCAGCGTAGACCAGGGCAAACAGGATCTCGCAATGGGTGTTCCCAAACATGGATTCTGCGGCACCTATATGTTTCTATGCAACTGGCCAAACGCGAGCTGATTTCACAATGTTCTCCAGTGTGGATGAACCTTGAAGACGTACTTAGCAACAGAATGCATACTCCTAGAACTGGTATCACTTCGCCACCAAAACAAGGGGAGGGGCATGGGTCAGCTCATTTCGGCTGTGCCCGCTGCAAAACGTTCTTCCCCTGGTTAGCCCCAGTCATCGCTGTAACCACCTCCCTCCCCGAGGCCTCGTTGGGATTGCTCGTGTGCCGCTCCTAAGGCAAGGTGGAATCGAAACCCGCAGAGACCTCCCACCAGGTTTAGAGGCCAAAGCCTTCAGCAAAAGCCGGGCAGGATGTTGCCCCTATCCACCTCATAATGCTTAAGCACCTAAACATCTAGAGGCAACATTCGTTAATTTAGCAAATGCAAAAAAAACAGTTTGCAACACATCTACATGAATTACAATAATTCACCCATTTAACATCAGGGATCCCCTATTCAAACAGCATTCACAGACAAAACTGACTACGAGATAAAACCAACAGCCCAAGTACACCCAAATCACGTTGGGTCCACCAGCAGCTGCCCGTGAGCTTCAGCTCAAGCTGCCTGGGTCAGAGAATCCCCTCCTAACCTGTCCGGTCCCAAAAGCAAAATCTGATACAAAGTCGTGCGTTGTTTTTGATTGCTGGGGTTCCTTCTGAGGTCTCAGGGGGTGAGTGAGCACACCGATCTTGGAAACTTCGGGTTCCTGAAAGCAAAGGGTGCCAAAATCAACTCGATCGAAAACGATCTTCCGCGGTTCCCGAGGTGCAACTACTCTCATCCCAACTGAGGGCTTGATGACCATCCCTGCCAACCCCCAATCATAGGGCATAGGGGTCTTTTGACCCCCCTCCTCAAATTGACTAAGCGGGGGTTCTTCATCCCGGGTTGCCATTCCGCTTCCCCATCAAGCATTTTCGGAAGTCCTGCGAATCGCCCAGTACGGGGTGGAATCCCGCCACCACGTCGTCCTCGCCTCAAGCGAAAGCTGCCAGCGATGCTTGCTGCCATGCGCCAATCGCTGCGGTAGGGCAAATTTGCTTGTGCGCCCTCTGGATTGTCCAAGCATGAAGCCCAACAAACCAAGCGTTTTTAGACACATCTGCCTTTGATCTTGGGCGCGGAAGTCACGCGTGAATTCTGCATCTTCTGGGCTTGCGTAGGGGAGTAGGTGTTCCGGCTCTGTTGCAGCGGGTGGGCCAAACGTAGTCTCCCCGCCGACATGATCATACCAGTGGCTGTCGCCCCTACATTGTCCAAGGTGCAAGGCTCTAAGGAGCCTTACATTCTATGCCTACTGCGAGTTCCACAAAGAAAGCCTGAAGCCTCGCTGAGTAGGAAACTCTCCAGCCTCGAGTCTCGGGTAGAAAAACGGGCATGTAGTGTGCCCATGCATGGCAACAAAACCCGAGTGCCATGCTCACACTCGGTGGGGAAAATTGGTAGTTGCCGCTAAAAAAACCTGAGCAGCTGCTTGCAGCCACTCAAGGATGTGCATGTGCAACAATATCCAGGGGGTGAGTTACAGCTCAGGGTACCTTTGGATCAGCTCATCTAAGGACCTTTGTTCATAGATGGTCACCATACACTCGGTACACATCTCCCAGGGCCTCCAGCGTGTATTGCATCAAAAACCTAGTTCCCCCATCAAAAGCCCAACATGCGATGTTTAAACCCACGTGTGTGAATAGAACTTGTTTCAGTTTCACAGGGAAATCGAGTCGGAATTGCAGAAAGTTGGGAACAGGACCCATGTCATTGAAACAAAATCACACATCCCGTTTTGATCCGTCAAAAGGGGCTCCATGCAAAAATATGCAGGGCTAGAGTGGGAACCCGAGAAACACATGTTGCAGGACGGGGCGGCTGTCGTCGTCAATGTTGGGCACGTTGAGGCGCTTGAGTGTAGCGACGTCAAAGTCCTGAGCGGGAGATACTCCAAACCAGCAATAAGAAGGAAATCCGCCGACATTGTTCGCCGTGTCTGACACCTAAGAGAGGATCCCCCGGGACACGTCTTGGATGCTTCCGCGCCGCTTTAGTACAGCGGGCCTGACAGTAAAAACTATGCCACGCGCAAAGGTTCACACCAATACTACCTGAATGGGGGGGGGCCCCCCCCCACATACCGCGCGGCAATCTGATGACGTTCCACTAAAAATAGTGTTCGGGGAGTCGGTGTCACAAAACAGGGGTCCCAGGCTCAATCCCCCTGCCGGCTCTTTGCTGGTTCGGGTTTTCTGCCTCCTTTTGCAAAAATTCTAGAAAAACTCTGTGTTTTAGACATCATTTTTGCAAAAACGTGGGAAACACCGTGTTGTTTTTCGGAAACATGCCGGGGAGCGAGGGAAAATGCAAGGAAGTGCAGGGAAATGAGGACAAAGTAAAATGCAAGGACATGCAGGGGGACACTGCAAGGCAAACAAAGGACAAAGAAAAGGGAAATGACTGGCAATGAAAGAAAGGACATACATGGACAATGAAGAGCACACATCGAGACAATGACGGACATGAAGGGGGAATTGAAAGGAATGGAAGGGGCCATGACTTGGAAGGACATCCTCAAAAAATGCCGAGACATGAAAAGGACATGACGGGGAAATCAAGGGGAACGCCAGTAGTACGAAGACAATTCAGGGGTCATGAAGGGGCAGTGCACGGAAATCGAGGCAACTCAGGGGGGGCATGACGCTGCAATGCAAACAGAGAGAGAGAGAGAGAGAGAGAGAGCGAGAGAGAGAGAGAGCGAGAAGGAGAGACAGAGACAGAAAAAGCGGGAGAAACAGAGACAGAGAAAGAGTGAGAGAAAAAGACCGAGATCGAGAAAGAGACAGAGCAGGAGACAGCAAAAACAAGCGGAGAGAGAAACAGAGAGAAACAGAAAGAGAGACAGAGAGGAAAGAGAGAGGCAAGAGAGAGAGGCAGCCACCAGGGGGGGGGAAGAGGCACGAGGTGGGGAGAATGAGGCATAGCGAGGCGGTAGATTAAGATGGAGACATAGAGAGGAGGGAGAGAGAGAGAGAGAGAAAGAGACAGAGAGAGAGAGAGAGAGAGAGAGAGAGAGAGAGAAAGAGACAGAGAGAGAGAGAGAGAGACAGAGAGAGAGGCATAGAGAGGCAGGAGAGAGAGAGAGAGAGACACAGAGAGAGAGGCATAGAGAGGCAGGAGAGAGTGAGATAGAAAGAGGCAAAGAAGCAGAGAGAGGAGAGAGAGAGAGAGAGAGAGAGGATTGGGAGGATGGGGAGGAGAGAGACAGAGAGGGAGAGAGGACGAGGGAACACACGGAGGAGGAGAAAAGAGAGAGAGAGAGAGAGAGAGAGAGAGAGAGAGAGACACAGAGAGAGAGGCATAGAGAGGCAGGAGAGAGTGAGATAGAAAGAGGCAAAGAAGCAGAGAGAGGAGAGAGAGAGAGAGAGAGAGAGGATTGGGAGGATGGGGAGGAGAGAGACAGAGAGGGAGAGAGGACGAGGGAACACACGGAGGAGGAGAAAAGAGAGAGAGAGAGAGAGAGAGAGAGAGAGAGAGAGACACAGAGAGAGAGGCATAGAGAGGCAGGAGAGAGTGAGATAGAAAGAGGCAAAGAAGCAGAGAGAGGAGAGAGAGAGAGAGAGGATTGGGAGGATGGGGAGGAGAGAGACAGAGAGGGAGAGAGGACGAGGGAACACACGGAGGAGGAGAAAAGAAAGAGAGAGAGAGAGAGAGAGAGAGCGGAAGCAGGAGAACAGGCAGAGGACAATGTCGGCAGACTGAGCCGGAGGCCGGAAAATGCAGGGAAACACCTAACTTATTTGGAGGTGAACCTTGAGGAAAAACTAATCGTTCGGATGTGAGAACTGGGCCATCCACAGGTTGCCGAAACATATAATTTTCCCAAGTCCACCAAAGCGAAAACGTCAAGACAGCGCCGCCTGAGCCAGACCAGGACATACAAATAGCAGAGGAAGGACAGCAGGCTTACCCAACACAAGGGTTCCTGGAACCATCTTGTGGACACTATGTCTGGGTGTGGCATTCCTTTAGCCGGTCTCCACCCCAACTTTGAAGGTCTTACACTGTGAGGACGCCATCACGGACCCAACAGGAAGGTGAGTCCCCAACGAGGAGTGCCCGACAGTTGCCAAAGTCCAGCCGGCTACTGTTCTTCTTGGCTGGATTGCCGGGTGCTGCAAAGCCAGCACGCCAGTTTGTACTATGGGCATTTCCCTAAGCCAAAAGAATGCCGGTCCCGCACGGTTGAGGCTAGCGGTCCAAACCCGGGGCTTTCGAAGTTACTCGTCAGTTCTTCCAGCCACCACCCAAGAGAAGAAAAGGCTTGACAGCTTTTGAACATGTGGCCTGGGATCAAACATAGATGCATCCCAGGCATCGGGCGACTTGCGTAAAGCTAGAACCTCAAGTCCACTGGATCTCAAATAGCCAAGAAGTGCTTGGAAATTGGTCGAAAGGAAAATGTACGTCTGTCGTAAAAAAGGGGACGCCAACAATTGTGGGCGTCCAGTTTTTGGCATCTGTTTCAAGCAAAACCCAAAAAGGGTGCTTGAAAAAAAAACAGACCCATATGGGCCCATCTGCAGCCTAAGAGCAGTGCACGCCCTTTGCACGCGTTGGAGAGCAACCGTGAATCAAAAAATGGAACTTTCCAAACAATTCCATCAGCAGCCTTCATCTCCGCCCAACGATCCATGCCTTTATCCCAGTTGCTTGGGACTTTCTTCTCCCTGTGCATCCAATTGGCCAACCCCCAGGGTACACCAACAATAATGTGATGGTCATGTTTTATGCTGGTGGTCTCGCCCTAGGACCGCTTTTTTGGTGTTTTTGCTCCGGGGGGTTGCTTTGGTACGGAAAAGTGTTGCCAAAACGATATTCCCAAACCGTCTTTGTGGCTGCATCCCCCTGCCCAACAAATTACTGCTGCCGGGGCCGGAAGCAAACCATTTTCCCAACCAAAGATCCAAACAACGAGGGTTGTTACAAAATATGCGTAAACAACAAGGCTGCCCCCCAAAATGGTGGGTTTGCCGTACAAAAGACCTCCCACCCTTTTTGGGGGTCTGATTTGTCTGTCCCATCGCCAAAGGCACCGGCGGCAAGTCGCAGAAGTCCTGCTTGGGATCGATCTGTGGCAGTCCCAGGCCCGGCGGAGCCTGGAGCGAACATGTTGAGGTACCAGTGGTTCAACCCTCATGTCTTAAACAAAGCAAACAGGCAACAAACAGAAGGAAACAAACACACACATTATTGTATTAGTTTGTTTGTTGTAATTTTGTTTGCTGTTTCTTCTTTTCTCGTTTTTGCAAAAAATGCTTTGGAGTCCCAAGATCCATCAGTTGACATTGGTCGCGTCCTTCCCTGGGCCGCCGGGCCGTGACTTCGCAGAAGACGGCCTTGGGGTCAATGTCCAAAAGCCCTGGGGAGATGAGGGGCACCTCGGGCAGCACCTGCGCCTGCGCAGATGGGGCTCGGGGTGGTTGGGGAAGGGTGAGGTTTGAGGTGGATTGGTTGTAGGGATGGTTTTAAAGGTTGGTTTGAGTCTAATTTTCTCAGGCAACACCCATTGTCAGAGCTCCTGCGATGGGAAGGGTTGCATGCAACCACGAAAACGCCGTGTTCACATGTAGCAAGTCCTCAAATGTCAATCAGGCGGGTCAATTTTGGTGATTGGATTGCATTCCCCAGGCAACCTGCACCTGATCAATCCCCAGATTTGCGCCCGCCAATGCCAAGCCATCCTGCTGTGAGGAGGAGGGATCAGTCGACCTTTGTGGAATCAGCGCTTCAAACGTTCCTAGCAACCTTCCACCCACTTGCGTGAAACTTGCGGGGGGCAACGGACCTACAATAGTGTTTCATGGGGGCTGGACGGTTTGCGGGAAAAAAAATCCACTTCGGCGGCTCATTTGCCGCCTGCGGCTTTTTATTTCCTTTGGGCCGACCTCTGAAGAGTCAACTCACGTCCTGAGTGAAAGGGCCCAAACATGATGTTTAAAAACCCTCTGTTTATCACCCAATGAGGGTACAGTTGTCCTTTTGTTACGGTCCGTTATGGCCTTCAGCATGGCAGCATCCCCAACATCACCAGCATCACTTGGACCTGGGGTTGCCTATATCGGCCCTGATTGGGTGGCAGTTGGGAGTTGCTGGGGGATGATTTAAGTTCGGGGGGCTTTTGGTTGGCTTAGATCCTCATGAGGGTGGGTCCTGGGGAGGTTTGGGGTTGATTCTTGGCGAAGCGAAGGGCTGACATCCGGCTCGGGTGTTAGTTTCTTGCGAAATCACGCCTCCCCAGGCCACAGGCGTGATTTCACCCAAAAAGCACTGGGAATTTCAGGGGTGGTTTTGCTTTCGAATCACCAGTTCTGACAGTTGCTTGCTTGTTTCGTCCGAAAAAAAAAAAAAAAAAAAAGAATCCAAAGTAAAGGAGTGTTCCAATATTGTTCCAATATAAACACGGCCGGTGGGAACTAACCCCAAACCAAAACACTAGGTTCCGTGAGTCAACCCCCACGAAACCAAAACCTCAAGTTGGCCCAGGCTGGCAGGCCTTGGATTCTTCAGAAATGACTGTGATTCGAATTTGTTTGGACACAGGGGTTATGCTCAAACCTAGGGGCGTCGTACACAACTCATGGACACGCACACACCCGTATGCTGCACATACGTATGTATACACACATATACATATATATATATATATACACACATAAACTCATGTGCACACATATGCATATACATGATTATGTCCTACGTATATACATATACATTTATATACCCATCTGCCCAGTGACCCACGGAATTGGGGCCCTTTCTGTGGTGCTCCCATTTGGAGGAAGCCAACCGAAGAACCTTGCGGGTGACAAGTTTAGGACTTCCCGCACCAGGTCCCAGCCCCGCCTTGTCGGTCCACCGGTTGATGACGGGAAGGTCCTGGGCCACAGGTATTACAGGTGCCGAGGTTGGCAAAAAAGAACATGGTAAGGAAGGAAAACATGCAATGAAGATCAGTAGAAACAATCAACACCGGAACCACACCTAAAGCCATTCGACACCCTCAAAAGTGATCCATCAGGATTCCCTCTGAAATCAATTTCGCGCCCCCACCCCGAATTCGCACTCACAAACTTGCCCAAAGAACCTGTGAACATCTTGGAACTTTGGCTGCCAACATCCCGCACAGGAACACCCAAACGTCAACTCGTGTTTGGGCAAGTGAGCAAAACGCAATACGGAATCCGCTTGTCAGTCATGGTTGTAAAGCCCAACCCCTTCTGCGATACCACAGCAAATACAGTCAAAACCCAGTTTCGCAACAATGCTACCCACAGCGCGTTGTAGCTTTTGCCGATGACCCATGGATGATTGACAGGTTGATTTACCAAGTTTCCACCCTGCCCCCTTCCCCTCGGCAAGTTCATAGACCCCCCCAGAAAGGAATGATCCCCAGAGGAAATACGGCGCTTGTGAAGCTTCATGACGGCTTTTAGGGGCGTATCTGCATTTTATATGTATGTGACTTTCTGTCAAGGGAACCCCGCACCGCACATAGCGAACTTTTTTTCACACATGGAACATCGGAGTCATACGTGGCCAAGCTGGCAGCTCAATACGTGGGTGTGTCTCCAAAGAAGGCCACCAGATGTTGCATGGGTGAAAGCTGGAAACCCAAGCTGAGATCGGTCAGCCCAAAGCCCACTTTTGTTAGCTATGGAATGTGGTGATCAATATGTGCCTCCCTGCAATTCCCATGGATGTCCGGGGGCAGCCTCAAAAAAAAGCACCCAAATGTCAACCAGTACGTGTGTTTGATGGGGCCCAAGCTTGAGGAAACCTCTTCCCCGCTTCCTGGGCGCGGAGGCTTGACATGGGATTCATTCAAACACGAAGTTTGCTAGGGTCCAGTTGCCCATTGACCCTGGTAAAAAATGAACCCTTTTTGGTGTTCACCAAAAAACCACGGGAAATAAGGGCTGGAATCCACGTGTCACAACTGCTGTGGCAAGGACATGGCCTTTTTCGGCAAGTGGCAGCAGCCGGGCTCAGGAGCGAAAACGGCAAAAACCTGGGCTCCAGAGTTAGGAGGTTGGACGCCAAGCCATCGTCAAGCCATAGGAATTGTTAGGGATTTGTAGGAATTGGTAGAACATTGCAGGAATCGGCAGGAAGGTGGGAATTGGTAGGGTGTTGGTAGGAACTTACCAACCTAAAAGGGACAACTTCGCTCATATCTGGCGCTTACCCTGCCTCCAATCATGGAAGCTGACAGGAAGGTGTGGGTTTTTTTCTAGGAGACCGCCCTGTCCACTTTGATTGTTGGATTGCAGGCGCTTAGGCAGTTTTACCTGGGGCAAGTGCTGACCTGTACCCCAGAAATAGGGCCTGTAGAAATAGGTCACGGGTACACAATGTAGAGAATAGTTGATACATGTATATTATATATGCGCATTCATATGCATATCTATATTAATCGGCCTTTGCCCAAGAATGCATACGTAATTTAATAGATATTAGATTTAGATGCTGGGACCGTACTCCAGGGGCACCTGGTCCGTTCAGAGATTGGGAGGTAACTTTTTGAGCCTTGCAGCAATGTGATGCAACTTGCTCTGAAGCTAGCCCATCGCTGTTGCTGGAGAAAAACATGTGTAAGACAATGTTACCCAAAAAGGGAGGGACCTTCCGGCTGCATGGACATGCCCAGTGGACCATCTTACTCATCCAAGTCGGTGCGCCACGCGTCCCGTGCGGTTGCGGCTTGCTGGGATTCAATGGGTACTGAGATGGGCTGAACTAGCAGGGGGCCCCAATTCACTGGTTGTTGTATTGCCTGCTTGTTCTCCATTGCAACCATCTCCAAGAAGCATTGCCAGCTGCATCAGCCAAAACCCAGCCCCCGCGTTTTCCCACACCCCCAAACACAGTCAGCTTCCGGGAAGATGTGGGCAAGCAAAGTGGCCGACTGAACCAAGCTAGGCGAATTGGGCCATCTACTTTCGTGCAACTGTACGTCATAGTGAGCTCGCTATACCCCGTGAACTTGCCATAGCATCGGAGAGCCCAAATCCGCCGTCAGGGTTGGGCCATGAAGCACGCCTAAACCACGACTTTGTGTACACCGTTTCCTTTAGGCATTCTTAAGAGGGGGGGGGGCCAGGGGTGGTTGTTGAACCGCATTCTTCCCCCCCAAAAAAAAAAAAAAAAAAAAACGGGCCCCCCCCCCCCCCCAAAAAAAAAAAAACAGACCCCCCAAACTGCCAAACTCGACCAACTCGTCTGCGAGCTGCTGCGCCGACTCCGGCGTCCAGCCCAGCTCGGGGGGTGCCGGCGGCATGTCCTGAGATGCCACGTCGTGGTTTGAGGGTACCTCCCTCAGCGAGGCCCCTGAAGAAGGGGGATTTAACCTCATGTTGTGATGGGCAACTCCCCATTTAAGGGTGGGCCGAGGGTTCAGGTAGAAGAAAGGTCTCCTATTTGTGACACGTACTCACATGAGTGTGAATGATACTCCTGAATTTGTGCCACTCCTGAAGGAGCAAGATAAGAAAGAGAATGGGGAAAAGGCAACAAATCTAATATCTGCACACAAACGGCTCTGCAGTCAGGCTTGTTTAGCAAACTGGAAGTCAGAGCTTGAAACTGATGCTTAAAAAAAACAAGACACTTCCAAACGGATGAACAGAGGTGGGGCATTTCAAACACCTGGTGCAAGCCAGGGCTTCGGGCGGGTACAGGCCATTGGGACTACTTTCCCTTCAGCACATACCGACAAACAGAACATGTTTGTACTTCATACTATGGCTAGCCTCTGCTTAAGATACTTGGCGTTTTTTGAATGTTGCCGGTGTTGCGCCCTAGCAGCACTCGCGGGCCAAGATCTCCATTCTGTGTGTCCGGAAACCTTGGACCAATTGAAGGAGGGGTCTTTGTATGATGCCCCCCATTAAACATCACCCCAAAGCAAAACACCTCCGCATCCCAAAAACATTATATTTAAACCACACGCCACACATCGCCGCACGCCCGAGTTTTCGAACGCCCGGTAAAGTACCTTAGACTGGTGAGAAACGCTGCCAGCAGAAAAACAAGAAAATCACCAGGAACTGTAGAAGTTTTGGCGGGAGCTTCCAGGATCCTCGTGAGACAGCCCCGCGTCGCCCAGAAGCTGATTCATGCCTTCTCATTCATTTACAGCACCTCACTTGGCGGTCATATGAATTTGGGAAAGTGGAAACTAAACCAGCTAATAACTTGAAGGCGGCAGCACAAATTCAAATTGCCCGTGTGGTTTCTTAAAAGGTAGTAGCCGGCACCCCTTGTTTTGTTTGATGTTTGGTTCCTTCTCCAAAATTTATCCAAACATGCACCAAGAACCACCGTAGAACTATTGATGCTGTATTCGCGGAATCTGCAAAAGTGTGCTCAGAGAACATTGGCTCAAATGTAGTATTTCCCCTGGGTTCTGCAAGCTTTCTCCCAACAACACACCCGGAAAAGGAAAAGCCGCAGTTGCCGTTGCCTTTCTTAGTTGGTGGTTTCCCAGACCTCCAGTGGCCACGGAAAAACGGACGCCTTGCTTCTGGCTGCTTGGTCTTGAAGCAAAGCCCTTGTCCCTTCCAAACGCGGACGGCAGGCCTCCCCTTGCCCGACTCATATGGGTGGGTTGTTTTTTTTGAGGGTTCTTTGGCTTGGATCGTGTTGAAGGGAAACTGAGCAAAAGCCATCATTTTAGGGGCTCCTTATTTTAAGACACACCCACGGCTTCCGTTTATTGAAGGGCTGCTTCATTTTGTTTGTGTTGGTTTCCCTTTGCAAGGGCTTCCCTCCGAAACAAACATAACTCACTCATCCCACCGCCATGGCGCCAGCGGAGGCGGCGGCTTCTCACTGGGCGGGGGCGGCACGTGCGCCGACGCCGTCTGCGCGCGCTGCTCCTGGGCTGGTGGCGCCTTGGCCTCCGGCGGGGCCTCGCTGCGGCAGCGAATCGACCCAGTCACATGGGTGTGGCTCTTCGGGGAACCCACAAAATCCGCCGACCCGCAAAATCCGCCGACCCCTCTCCCCAAACAGGAGGCGCATGGGAAGGGTGATGCTACAAGAAATAACCATCGCCATCATCATCATCATCATCATCATCATCATCATGATCATCATGATCATCATGATCATCATGATCATCATGAGCATCATCTCTGTCCTGGTCATCACCACTATCACCCCCAGTAACGTATGTTCCTGTTCTTCCCTCATTCTTCAGGCGGCACTTCTTGCCTTCATCTCAGCTCATGACCTAATCCTTTTCATACAAGAAAATAATGTCACGTTAAGCAGTCGCTGTTCTTACTCAGCATGGGGTGAGACGATAGAGAGCAAGTGAGCCGCAGTCTCAGCACTGCGCGCAGCAATTGCCCGCGTTTCATCTCATGACCTTATCTGTTCTAATCTTTTTTTCTATAAAATCCGGGTGTCACCTTAGGCATTTTCCATGCCAAGGGAAAAGGAACAGCGAATATTAGATCTTAATCTTATAATCAAGGATTCAGATGTCACATTGGGGGGTTGCCATGCCAGGGGGGAAGGCACATACCTTCATCTCATCTCAAGGTCTCATTCTACTCATCTTAAACCTTACAAAATATTTTATTTAGGATTCGGATGAGTTGCAATAGGTGCAGCCTCACCATGACGCTAGAGAGCTGCAATGCTGGAAGCAAAGAAGTAGTAGGGAAAGGGGCTTGTGTGTTAACAGGCATTGGTGTGGAACAAGAACGCTGCAAAGAAGTAAGCATCGTCGTCATCAGAATCACCATGGCCATCCTCGTTATCATCCCCATCAAAGTCATCATCGTCATCATAGTCATCAATCGACATGCCTGATCAGCATCACATATTTTCTTTCTTATTGCACGAGTATCTTCATTTGTGGTATTTGTCATTCTTAATTCTTATTATCTAGCATGGTAAGTGAGCCGCAGCCTCAGCATTGCAGGCGGCATTTTTGTGTTTTCCCCACATCTTTGTGCGGGGTTCTTACTGTTACCGCTGCGCGCGCGCCCTCCGCCGCCCGGCGTTTACTCACTCGCTTTCTCACTCACTTACACACTCACTCACTCCACTCACTCAACTCACTCACTCACTCACTCAATCCATCACTCAATATTCACTCAATCACCCAATCACTCATTCACTCACTGAGTCACTCAGTCACTCAGTCACTCAGTCACTCAGTCACTCAGTCAGTCAGTCAGTCAGTCAGTGACTCACTCACTCACTCACGCACGCACGCACTCACTCACTCACTCACTCACTCACTCACTCACTCACTCACTCACTCACTCACTCACTCACTCACTCACTCACTGGATGTTGTCGCGCGCGCGGCTGGGGGGTGGCAGCTGCACAGCATGTACGATGAATACACTGAAATCTTGAGATGGGATGAAAATAAGTGCCGCTTGCAATGCTGAGGCTGCACCTCTCTTTCCCCCGGCGCTGCAACTCTCTAACGTCACATCCGAATCCAATATTTCAGATCTAGTTGCCAGCATCGCCGACGCTTTCGGGAGCCTCTGAATCACGCATCACCTTCATCCCTTGCATCGCCTGGTTGTTGGGCCAGGCTTCCCAAAGCATTCCTGATGACGCCACGCTCACTCACATGCGCAACGCGCGGGCAGCATGCACGCAAGCAACGAAGCAATGAAGCAACGAAGCAACGAACCAACCAACCACCAACCAAATCCATCCATGCCATGCCAGCCACCCCATCCCATCGCTCCCCCATCCCATCCATCCCTCCCTCCGTCCCAGCCAGCAATCCATCCACTCTCCTCTCCTCTCCTCTCCTCTCCTCTCCTCTCCTCTCCTCTCATCTCCTCTCCTCTCCTCTCCTCTCCTCTCCTCTCCTCTCTCCTCCTCTCCATCCATCCATCCATCCATCCATCCATCCATCCATCCATCCATCCATCCATCCATCCATCCATCCATCCATCCATCCATCCATCCATCCATCCATCCATCCATCCATCCATCCATCCACCCACCCACCCACCCACCCACCCACCCACCCACCCACCCACCCACCCACCCACCCACCCACCCACCCACCCACCCACCCATGTCATCCATGTCATCCATGTCATCCATGTCATCCATGTCATCCATGTCATCCATGTCATCCATGTCATCCATGTCATCCATGTCATCCATCCATCCATCCATCCATCCATCCATCCATCCATCCATCCATCCATCCATGCATCCATCCATCCATCCATCCATCCATCCATCCATCCATCCATCTGTCATCCATCGCGGCCATCCATCCATTCCGAGCGGCGGACATGCGAGGCCGGCGCGCGGAGCAGGAAAATAAAGGTTTTCCTGCTGCCCCCCTTAAAACCAATCCAAAAAGGGAACCTGCAAAATGACACACCCTCTTAGGCAGGGGAGTTGGAGGTAAGGCTACGGGGGAAACACTGAGTTGGTGGCATTGTATAAGGGGTACATTCGAGCTTCTATTGGCCTAAGCACCACATCTCCAACCCCACATCTGAACATGCCCGTGACTGGGGCGACAAGCGTGACTACCCACCTCTGAATACTTAAGTAGCCGAAACTCGTAGAGGCAACCCCCTGTGCACAAATTCCACAAGCAAACGCAGATGCCGGTGCTAGACAATGACAAACAATGCCCTGCTAAGCTGACTGGACGGAACAAGTTCAAACTTCTTTGCATTGACAAGCAAGTGATGAAGATAACAGGTCTAAACACAAAGTGTTTTCCAATTCAGCAAGTAAGCAAAGTCCACCAATCGAGAAGCGCCTAAAACCCAATCAACCCCCATGAGCCCAGATTGCCATCCCTGCCAATCCCAAAGAAGCCTCAGACATGGACCAGAATTGCAAACGTTGGGCATGAATCAATGAACCCTGTTGGCTGCTATGGACTGGGCCGTAAGGGTTTGTTAAAGGCTTAATCGTAACAGGCCTGGTTTGGTGCGGTTTGGCCTTACGCACTGGCTTGTCAAAACCTGAGCCCCCCTGCGGGTTGGGGTTCCCCTACTTAGAGTGGCCCAAGTGATTGTGAAAGCAGAATCGCTGGGCGGCATTGACCATTGGCGCGAACAATTAGACAATGCTGGACGTTTGTCCTCACTTCTCCATCCTTCGGTTGCCTTCAGGGAAACTAATTCTTATGGAGCGGTTGCTGGCCCGATTTGTCAACTTGTGTACAACTTTCAAAGCCCCCTGCCTCCCCCCCCGGCGTGCGATCAAAGGGACACTGCCTCCAGTTTCTGACTTGGATCTCACCTCCCTTAGAAGGTCCAAATCATGACCCAAGATGTGGCGCCTGTAGCTGCAGCTGAACCTACAAGCTGCGAGGCAATTCTTGGCATTTGCAGCCAAGAGGCCAGGCTCTTCATAGGCGGCCTCGGATCTGCCAAGGTCCCTGGACATCAGGAAAGGGCTGCTCTGCTGAGTGTGCACTGGCCGGGAAAAGCTTGAACTTGCTGAGGCCTTGACTGATATGACGCAGAAAGCTATTAACAAACAAATTAAAGAGTTCAGAGTTTGCCAACTCAGCAGGTAAGATGGCAGTAGTACAAAGTAAGCTATCTAGTAACGGTGGATAAAGTTCGAATCCAACACTACAATGGTCTTCCAACTGTGGGTGCGTTTATGGCACCCTGCAAAATGTTAACTTCCACTGGTTTGTGGAGAGACGGGTCTAACCAAAGAGCAACGTACAATGGGTGCTAAGCGACTAGGGAACTTATTTTCCTTTCTCACCGTAGGTTCGGATACTTTCTGCACAAATTACTACCATCAACAACCTGACAACAGGGCTCTTCCTTGCAAACCTCCGCAGGCGCATTCGCCTTCTCATCCTACCCACAGGCGAGCGCATTGTACTTTGCACAAACCCTTGGTTATGATTGACCCTAGAAGGAAGGGCACGTCGTCCAGAACAAGGAACATGGTAGAGCCGAGCCAACTGAAGCTGAAAGCAGTCGGCATCGCCTAGTTGCTTTCTTGATTGACGCCTGGCCGGACGAAATACTGCATACATAGGCCAGCACTCAGGCAAGCCGCTATAGTAGCAAACCGGCCATTTGCCTTTTAGAGACCAAAGGGCGGTTCTCTGGGAAACCCGAAACATGGATTAACTGGGTATATGATATTCCAGGTGGTGCATCCCAGTATTCATAGGGCTTCTCCATCTGCCGTGTGAATTTGGTATTCTGTCCATTCACATAGGAAAACATGGGTACGCAAAAAATGGGCTGGTTCATTCTGAAGGGAAACATCCTTCCCGCAAAGGTATTCAAGGCCAAATGGGATCAAATGGGGTCATACTGTGGCGGGACGAAATCCTGCACCACCTAAGAAACCATGGGACACCATTGTTCGTTGGCATTTACACGGGAATCGAATCACTCCAGGGGTTTCTAGGTGCAGGAATTCGTCCACAGTGCTGCGTTTTGTGCCTGGTGCTTCACCTGCCTGAGGCCCTCACGCCTTCACGGGTGGCAGGGCGGCCGCCTGAGGTCGAAGGGTTGCAAGTCGAGGAGGCTCCCCAAATCAGTCAGTCGAGTCGAGTCCAACCGAAAGGGAAGATGGCTGAACAAAAAATCTAGCCGAAAATTCTGGTCTGCTCATTTTCGACACGCATCCCATTTGACACCATCCAACAGTTGGTCCCTGTATGTTGAAATCTTCCCCTCCACCAATTCCATGTTCCAAGGGCTCGTTTTTCCTTTTTTTTTGTTCGGCGTCACTTTTCACGCCTTCCAGTGGACCACCAAGTTGCCAGATGCCGCAAAATGCAGGCCATGGTCGAACTGAAAGGAGATCGCTGAACAATAGCTGTGTAGCAAGAAACGCTCACTGGACGGTACTGAGGGCAAGCAGGACCCTGGGTAACAGTGGTTTATTCAAATGGTTGGATCACTATTCGCAACGGAACATTTCACCCCCGCAACTGGGTATGTCCCAAACTACTCGGTCCTGTGTTGGTTTCCAGCCCAAAAAGTCCAAACTGCTTGTTTGTCAGTAAAACGATCTTCTGGCCGGCGATTGCAACCTCAATTTTGCTCGTTTGCTCGCGGTCAGTGGGTACAGTCATCCCCTGTTCGTTTGCTTGACCCTTAAACTCAGCCAGTCTTCCCAAAAAAGTATGAAGTCCGGCAACTCAGCGTGGGAAACGGTGGATAATGCCAGCGGCTCTGTCAGTCCAAAAGAAACCGCCCCTTTGGCCGTGGTGCATAGCCCGCCGGCGGCGGCATCTTCACTGGCGGCCTAGGGAAGGAGCTTCATGGCTCGGCTGGCCGTGGTTCAAGGGGTACATATCCACCCCGGCAAACATCGATGAAACGGAACATAACCATCTCAGAGACAATGCAGGAAACATTGACATGCAAGAAGTTAAGGTCAAACATCCAACTCAGGGTTTGGATTGGCTCGGGATTTTGCCTCCTTATTCTTGTGGATGGCAAATCACCCCATAGTCAGAGGACACCCCAAACAACATCTTCTGACAGGGCCCCAAGAAGCTGAAATCCATCAACATTCGCCACCCAGGATCCTCCAATGGGGCCCCGAGCAAACAAAGGGGCCCCAAAAGGGCGCTCGGGGGCCACTTGCGCACAGGAACCGGGAATAAATGTGGGCGTGTCTTGTTTTGAGGGTACCGTTTGTTGGCCCCAAAAGGAAAACAACAATTTTGCGGGCTCCCCAAAAAAGATACACGCCCATGTGCACCTTTCGGAATCTTGGCTGAATGCGATTCAGCCCAATGTGGCTACCGATCCGTACCCCCCAACTCTAAACTAAGTATATGAGGCCCATACATTCCCAAAGGAGTCGAACCACCCGAGCACGGTTGAATCTCCCCGTTGACGGCTCGCTTGCAAAATAATCCAACGATACTTACTGGCAAGGAACCGCAGGGCTGCTTTCTTCGTGCCTCCGGATAACTTCCACGTCTATTCAATTTGGGAGGGCCGTTGTCCAAAACGTGCACCTCACCAGGCGTTAGCGAAGGCTCTCTCTATCTCTTTCTGTTTCTCTTTCTCTTTCTCTTTCTCTTTCTCTTTCTCTTTCTCTTTCTCTCTCTCTCTCTCTCTCTCTCTCTCCGTTTTTTCAACTTGAGACCTGAAGCCCCGCCCTGGGGGCTTCGAAAGGAGATCCGTCACGTCGAAAGGACCCTAGGCAATTAATATAACTCAACAACCCGAAGCCAGGAACTCCCAAGCAAAAAGCCTTCATCACGGACACCACCCGACCAAGTTCAGGCACAAACTGGAGCCCTATCTGAACTGCGAAAGGTGGTGATTTGGATTTCGCCGGGGACCAGCCCCTTGTGACCTGCGAACGCAATCTGGGGCTGGGAGGTCGCGCGAAAGGCCAAACTATTCGGGCCACGTCTCGCTTTGCCACGTGGTGCCCTAGCTGCACTCAAACATGCACCGCCAAAACCATGGAAATGGGCGCCGGATGTCAGGATTTTAAGCAATAATTCAAAAACCTGAAATTGGCAATCCCAGGTAGGGCGCATTCATCACGGATGAGCTCGTCTACCCCAAGGTGAGATGGTTGGAACTTGCCCACGCCCCTTCCTAAGGGGGGATGGCAAACCCGCCCCAAACAATGGGCTGATATGTGGTTTCCACTTGGAAAGCATCCAGAGGAGGGGTCTGGGCATTGTCTAAGGTGAATGGAGCCTGGAATAAAGTTGTCCAAATCAGCAAAACCAAAGGTCAAGAAGGTCGCTTCCCCAAAACCGGGTGGTTCCCCTTTTGCCAGGACATGCAACCACACAAAAGGAAGCACAGCAGAAGAAATGCCGCAGAATCCAGCGGTCTGAGCTTCCGCGCGCCTTACTGGGCGCCTCGTAGTTGAAAGGGGGCATGCCCCCTACCTCAAGGAGGGCGATGGGGTCCCCAATTCCGTTTATCCAGTATTCCCACTAGGTCCTCCAGTAGAGGTTAGAAAAAGGGTACCCTTTTTGCCCTAGGGTACAAGGGCACTGGGGGACCTAACCCCTAATTGAAACGGAAAAGTGGAACCACAAATGGAAGTCCACGGTCGTCCCCTTCTCAAAATTCATTGTTTTCACAGGGTGCCATAGGGGGACCACCCTCCGAAAACAGGTGACAAGGTCTGAGTCTGGACTACACCCCTGCAGATTAACATGAAACTGACAAAAACCGATCCGCGTTTAATGAAGTCTTGTTGGGGACGCCTTATTTGGCGTCCACGTCAACTTGCAGGCGATGAAGCTGCTGACACCTACCCTCCTCAACAGCTGTGGAAAAGAGGCCCCCATATAATCCATGTTTGCATGCGTGGGGTCCAAAGTATTTACCATTCTAAAACGACTGCTATGGAATTGTTTGTTTGGGGCGGGTGCCCCTCGTGCCCCTCGTGCATAGGTTAATCCATTCTGGCAAATGCAATAACCTCATGAAGCGACTTGCGCGTATCACCATGTGCCCTGCTTTGCTCTTTGTGGCTGGATGGGAAAATCAAGAACCCATCAAAATCAAAAGGGCCAAACCGGCAAGCTAAATCTGGCAGTGGCAAGTGAAACCAGAGGTTTACGCGGGTGGGGCCCGTGCTTTCTGGAGATGGGAAACCTTGCAAACCAAGGTAGCAACGCTCAGGATTGTACCAGAAGTGCTCCAAAGTGGTGTCGTTGGTGTTTGTGTGGGGGGGGGAGATCCCATCTGGTTGATTTTCAGCAGACACCCAAAGTCAACCAGCCATTTTTGGAGGCCGTCTCATTTTTCGGACAAACCCAACTGGTCTGTGGCGGGGGCCGCCAACCCTGGCGGATTTGTGCCGATCTTGCAAGACCCTCGAGCTCGGCCTGCAAAGGAGGGCCCGACCTCGGAACGGCACAATTCTTGACCGGGGAAATGGTTGAAGAGAGGGTCCGGGGTCCAATGGGCCTCCGGATTACCAAGTTGCGCCCACTGCCAAAAACATAAGCAAGTGAATCTGCCTGATAGACTCAAAACAGGCACATGCCACCTGTCATCAATCAGGGGTTGCCGTTTAGTTAGCACTGATACTTGAGAAGCCTAGAATCTAGGACGTCCTCGGTAGCCCCCGAACACGTGTTTCTTGGTTTGGGTTTTGCATTTCTTGTACGCCATTCTTCGTGCCTGGTTTGAAAGGCTGACATTCCTTTCGATTTCATTGGGCCTTCCAACTCGTGCAGCCAACCCGTTCGGGTGTCTCAACTCAATTCGGGCACGCCAAATTCCAGGGCACACCGCGAACCCTAGCCACGCTAAAAATTGCAGTGGATGCCTCCAACCTACGAGCGCTATGCCATAATCTTGGTTGACGTTGGAAGGGGAGCAACAAAAATATTGTTTAGCAGTTAAGTGGGGAGTTCCCACTAAACCACGATGAGCAAAAATGTAACATGTTTCCCAACAACAACCAGATAATGATTGAATCATGCAGGTTTCATAGGCTAAAGGGGCCTCCAATATGCTCTACAACTTTGTTTCCTGCCAAGCCCTCAACAAGGGCCCGCGCCAGCAACTCATCAACAAGAGGGTGGGGATCCAATGCGTTGAGCGAAGGCCCCAACACCTTCCTTGACGCGTATCCGTGGCTGATAGTCGATGTCATGCACCAGTTGATAGGCGGTTTGTCGCATGTTCTTCAGGGGGGGGTTCGTCCACCCCAGCCCCATCTTAACCGGCCTACACCTTGCGACACCTCTTTAGCGAATGATGGCTTGAACTACAACCACTAAACCGGGGCCATAGCGGGATATTGCCAATACACCTGGGCAACTAGCATAGTTCACCCCGAAATAAGCAATAGCAACCATCATCATGGGCCAGTTTGTTCTACCCCCAGGTGAGCTCTTTGCAATTTGCCCATACTATATCCCACATAGCTTTGGTGTTTGTGGCTTGGTGGCAGTGGAAAACATTTCATTTTTAGCCTCGAGACTCAAGACCATTGTAAGAGCGCTGGAGGGAGGGTACCTGTGCTCATGGCACGCAGGGAACCACCAAAAGAGCTTGTACAGCTTACATGGCAACCATGCTTGTGGAACCCTATGACACCAAACTATGCTTTTCTCGTTGATTCTTTGACACTTGTGGGGTTCCCTTGGTGCCAAAAGCGCGCTGGGGCCTAAAAACGTACAATTTCCCACAACCATGCTGGAGACAGTGCGAGCAGTGGAACCAGGCTGAAGTAACCGACAAAACACGTCACTCTGAGCGTAGCGCCCAGGAGCTTCGTCGCTGTCGCTGTCGCTGTCGCTGTCGCCCTGAGGGCAGATTTCAGTCTAGCCCAGGAATTCCAAATTAGCCACACAAAATACAACTAGCCATATACCAAATACCAGAGTTGAGAAAAACAACCAAAAAAAACATGTCCTCCAAAAATTGCTGAGCAGGCTTCTATTCAAAGGCTCGGGTTGGACGACTACTAGGCTTGTGTTTATCTTGAGGGTTGTTCTGAAAGTTGCTTCCGACCATTAAATTATACAAGGTGAAAATCTATTTGGCCGCTTCGGAGCGCCTTATTTTATTGAGCCAAAACATGTCAGTAGTCTCAACTGTACAACTGTATATGACAACATGCGTATTGGGCTACATATTTCAACACTCCTCCTTGCTGGAGGGTGCTTGATCACCCGCACAGCAACTATACAGTGCGGTAGTCGGAGCCTGGACCAGGGCCTTACGAATCTAGAAGACTCATCTGGCCTTTACTCTTGCTTTGAAGAAACACAAATCCGGAACGATTCATTGTGTCCTTCATTTGGACTCCGGGTACTGACTTTGTCAGCACATCAGACCTGTTCCGCCTGCCTGGTATGTGTTCTACCTTTAAATGGTTCATCGCCACACGTTCCTGTAACCACAGATAACGAGTTTGAATGTGGCGTGCCTTTCCCAGGCAAACCCTAAACCCTATTAACCGTGCCTTTGGCTGCGGTTGCATCAGACTCTACTAGAACCTCTACCTCAACTCCAAAGTCTTGAAGGAGGGATTGAAGTCCTAATCCTACAGAACCGCCTTTCACCAAAGCGTAATACTCACTCTCTCCAGTGCTCAATGCTATCGTCGACTGGACGTTGCTTGAGTGCTTCAGTGTATGGCTACCATAGAGGGCAACCATGCCTGTAGTGCTTCGCCTAGTGACAGCGTCTCCTGCATGGTCAGAATCAACCTGTATACGGACCTTCGAAGGTTTGGCTTGTCGCCCAAACACTTGACAAAGATCAGGATACTTCAGCAAATACCTGCACAGTCTCTTCAGGTCTTGCATCGCCGCCTCGGTCGGGGTGACCATCTTCCTTGAAAGATTCTTCACAGCGTGCGAAAGATCAGGACGATCTTGACTGAGGTACGCTGCTCGCATCACACTCGACCTATAAAGTGAAGCTGCTTCTCGCGCCAACGGAGGGCTGTTAGCCTCCAAAAGCTGCTGCTCCACGGACTTCTTGATGTCTGGGGTCTCAGTGCCCTTCGCGTTCACCATTCCCAGATGTCTCACCAAAAGTTCCACATGACGGCGGTCAGGTTCCAAGAAAACCGCTGATTGGCCTTCGTGCATGCCAATGCGGATCAGACGATTCAAGAAATGTGCAGTGCGATCATCTCCATCCTCGTCTCCCAGCATTCCGAGCCGTTTCAGCTCGTAGGCACTCCTTAGAGTGGAATCCAGCTCATCCAAAGCTTCTTGATCACCAAGTGCAAGGAAGTCGTCTCCATGAACCAACACTCTGCACCCTGTGCTCGGCTTGTAAAAGCAGGAACCATTGCTGCGGCCACGCTGAAACCCATGCTTCAAAAGAAGTTGGGTATAATGGTCTTGCCATATTGCTGGCGCGTCTTGGCAACCATACATGCTCTTCTCCAACAAACCACAGAAGCCTTCTTCTGCGTCTTCTGGTGGAAGCTCCACATATATGCGTCGCTTCGGAACTCCATAAAAGTGCGCTCGACTTATGTCCCAGAGACCGAGCTTCAGTCTCCGGCCCTTGGCTGACACCCGGTCTGTTGCCCAGGCACTCAGCAAGTAGCGCATTGCCTCCAACGGTGGCGTTGACGAGAACAGGAGGTTCTGCGGCAACTGTTCTTCCGGCTTCTTAGCTGCCTTAATTTCACGGGCAACTAATCTAGACCGGTAGTTGGGCTTTTCAGGATCTCCTTTGTTCGTGTCTAACCATCTCACCGTGATTGGACGAAGTCCCTCTGCGTAGCATTGTGTTACCGGCACCTTCCGGTAAACTCCTTGCTTCTTGAAGTAGTCCATCTCAAGAGTTCTGGCCTTCTTAACTTCTTCCGCTGGTAGAAGTCCTCCATTCACATCATCCCAGTACTCTTCAATGTAGTCTGCTGGAACAAAAGGTTCCTCACAGATTGGCCCTGATGTATTCGACTCCATTGAGTTAAGCTCACCCTTCTGTACAAGATAAGCTTTGACTGTCCGAAGGACAGCTTTGACCAGCGCAGGTGGGTACCTGGCGGCCTGTTTGGCAATTCCACCAATAAGGTGTACATGCCTGTGCCAGGGATCTTTCCCTGCCTTGTTGCTGCACTCACCTTCCAAGAGCTCAGCAAGCTCCCGGCTATTAGTGAGCCAACCGGTCTCCTTTCTCACATAGCCCGTGCCTTGAAGACCACGGCGGTCTGTCGCCATCATCTCCCATCGGCACATCGGCCCTCGGACCAAATATGTGTCCGGGCGATCCGTCAGTTCCTTGACTTCAGGATCTTTCCACGAAGTGGCACTCCAGGGCGCCTCGTGCAAGAACAGGCGCTGGCTGTATCCAGCTGCTTCCTATAGAAGCTGCATGAGTTGTGCAAATGCTCCAGTGCTTTATCCATACGGATCTTACGTTGATCCGGGCTGACCCTGTACTTGTTGATGTTCTGCAAGTGGCTGAATTGATCACACGGCGGACTCCCAGTCAGTAGTACTGGTTCGTCGCGATCAATCAGTTGGTTTACGGCCTCGACGTCTTCTGGCCTGCTAAGGTCCCAGAACGAACCGTCGGGTTTAGCCTCCTCAAGGTCGATTGCGAAACCAGGCTTTAAACCAAACCTGCTCGCCTCCTTAGAGAATCTTGCTGGACTGTACACTTCCATGATGTGTACGGCGCTTAGCTCGCAGCTTATGTTGGCTAGAGTCTCAATTTCCACTGACGAGATCTCTACCTCCTGCTGCTCATAGACCTGCTTGATTCTCCTCTCGATCATCCTCTTCACCACCTCCTTTGCCCTGCTCAAAGACAGTCCTCCCGCGTCCGGGGGCTGCCTGGAGTAGTTGCTCCAGCAGGTGGCTCTCCAGTTTGATCTCTCAAATCTTCAACTGATACCTCAGGTTCTCTCTTCTCTCCTTGCGTTGGCTGGACCTTCAGCTTAGGTCCAGCGGCTATCCTGAGTTCTCCCGGTCTTTTCTGAGGCTTGACCGGTGAGGCTTTAGCCTTACTCCCTGCAGGCGTACTGCTACTGCTGGGCTCTGCAGGTGCACGTTTCAGGCTTGACCTCTCCTCTGGGTTGTCAGGGTATGGCAAAATGCCCTCATCCCTGCGTTCTTCACTAGCTTGCACGGCCTTGTCGGCCGGTGCTCCAGCTGCGTCATCAGCTGTCACATCCCTCTCAGGGGCCTCGTTCTTCTCATCTGCTCTTGCCTTCCTCATCTTGTTGCATCAGAGTCACAATCCTGGCTCTGCATGCTTCCGTGTGTGGCAACACGGTAGATTGGCCCAGCAAAATGCATGTGCATCCTGGGCACCCATCTGTAGGCGTATACTTCTCGACGTCTGCCTTCCGGATGTAGATCCTCTTCTGCATAGGTGGCGCCATGACATGAACTGCTGGTGGCACCTCCATCCTTGGCTCTCCAACCAAGACAACGGCTTCTCCAGCCGCTCCGGCACGTGGCGTGCCCGGTGACCTCCGTGCAGTCACCTCCCATGGAAGCCCTCGTAGGGCATCCCATCCGTCGGCTACCCAACGGTCACAGTCCGCCAGCCTGCGGACTCCAGTGCCCCTCTTGACACCATCTGCTGTGATCACCAAAAGTGATCCGGTACGACCATGGTGGCCGATGTACCGGCCTTCCTTAAGATGTCGTACTCCTTCTCCTACCTCACGGTAGTACAACTTTTCGCCTATAGCGATCGCTGGCTTTCGCCAGTTCTTACCACAACGCCTGTGTTCAGGCGTGCGGCCGTCCGGTCCTTTGCGGTACCGGCACATCAGGTCTGCCGCATGCCGCGGAAGCCATGCCAGGACGGGATCGTCCTCGCGTAGAACCTTGCCGATCATCTCTTCTAAAGAAGACCTCAAGACTCTTACCTGCCTCTTGACCTCACGGACTGCATTCTCCGCAAGTCCATTGCTCCGGTGGTCACCCACCGGGGACTCCTGTGGAACGTTTTCCACTCCAGCCTCACGGGCTGCCTGCTCCTTAAGAGCAACAATCGAATGCTCACCATCGCTCATCATGACCGCTCTCCGATAGCCTAAGTGCTTCAGAAAGTTGGCAAAGAACTTCACGGCATAGGGTGTAGGACCCTTTGCATCCACAAAAGTGGCTGCCACGGACAACGTCCGGCTGTCTTTGATCACCAAGATAGGCTTGGCTCTTCCATCTTCCTTGCCATCTGTAGTCATGAAGGTGTAGTCGCTCGCGATGATGGGTAAACCGTCATCTCTCTTACTCTCCTCGTCTCGAGACCTGTGTTGCTGACCTAGGCCTCTCCCAGCAACGCAATGCCGGCACCAAGTCCTGTACTGAACATGGCCTGTGGACTCATGCTCGTCCACCTCCGCCCTTGTCGGGTTCGCTGGTGCGTGCACCAACGCAGGCGGTGCAATCTCCTCACTCTCCTCTTCTCTCTCAGGAACACCCTCAGGTCGGCCCTCAGGTGCTCCCATGTCCTCATCTCCTCGTCCGGCGGGCGCGGCATCATCTGCCGCTGCCATGGCTTGGGCCGGACTTACACCACTGTGGGCTGCCGCCCAAAACCCTGAGTAGGTGCCTTCGCCTTCAGGTAGAAGTTGTAGACACCTTTCTCCTGGTACACCGGAATCCATGCCTTCGCATGGTGCTTGTTCTTCTCCTTCTCAATGAGCTCCAAGATCTTGCCAGAAACCTCGGAGTCCTGCGGGGTCAGATTCCCGCCATGCTCGTCTAGCACCGCAACTCTGCCGTGCTTCAAGCATTTGTAGGCCGAGACCAAGGGTTTGTGTACCGGAGCCAACGGGCCTGTGACACTACAACAGTGCCCATACTCTCCGGTTCCTTTGAACACACCCGTACCAGTCCCACGGACCAGCTCACCTGAGGCCGTCTTGAACATAACCTCAGTTCCTTCCTTGACCGGCACTTTGTCTGCCCAGTTGTCTGGGCTGCACCGGTGTCCAAATTGAAGCGGACCCATTCCATAGCCTGGAGGTCCTCTCCAGCTGTAAGTGCACCCAGCTCAAACATACCCACATCGAGCTCTCCTTCGGGTTGTTCTTCTTCATGGGCTCCCTCACCTGTGTCCTCTTTCAGTGAGTTCGCTCCTTTGTGCTTACCTTTGCTCTTGCCTTTCTTTCCACCTCCTTTTGAGCCTTTGCTTGAGCCTTTGTTTGAGCCATCCTTCTTTTTACTCCAGCACTCCGCAGCTTTATGCCCGGCTTTACCGCAATTAAAGCAAACTATGTCCTTGGAAGTTGAACCTTTTCCCCCACTGCCCTTGTCTTTACCTTTGCCCTTACTCTTGCCCTTTCCACCGGATCCCTTGCCTTTGACCAAGCTGTTGATGACCTTTGTGAGGCTGTCCACGTCCATGGGCGCCGGACCACTGTCCGATGAGGATGCTGCGCCAGGGCGTGAAATCGGTGCCTTACTTCCCAAAGAGGATTCAATCACAAGGTCAATTTCTGATTTCATCTGTGCGTAGGTTGTGAGGCGTCCTTTGTTCAACAAAAGGTGGCGTTCAATGTCTGAGGGTACAAGCAACTCCAAGCTGGTCGCCTTTATGTCTTCTGACAGGCGTTCTCTCTCACCAGCTTCGTTCTTGCGATTTTCATATCGCCTGAAAAGGTCCTCTAGTTGCTCTATTGCGGCCCTCACATTTTCCCACCGTTTCACACGTTCTGGGTTCAATATCGCCCGGAGTATGTTTCTCTTCCGTCCGGCGGTTAGGGGATCCCACCGGCGGTGGATTCTTCTCCACGCTTCGAACCCATTAGAACAGCCTATCACCAAGTCCTCAGTCTCTCCATGGGTTAAGGAAGAAAGCAAACGAAACAATTGGTCCCCTATGTCTGGTAAACCGGACACCCCGTCCGGCTCCCCATGCGCGGCCTCGACTTCGTCCACAGTGATGTCGTCGGGCCCATCCTGATCGAGGCACCAATCCAATACTTTCTCAAATTCCTTCCCAAAGATGCTGACAACAAGGTTTGTGACTGAACGCACCCACTTCCGGAACGTATGCTCTTCATTGTTGAACCGTTCCGGCTTACCAATCCCCTTTGTGTCAACCAACAGCTTCCTGGGTTCCTCTCTTTTTGTATTCCTGGCCAATTCTGTCATGCTTTCGGCCAGCCGGGTCAACAGGGCAGTTTGTTCCTGTTGCCTCTGTTGCTGCTCGCGCAACACTCTATTTTCCTCAAGGATCTGCTGCAGTTGCGCTTGTATGGCAGCTAATTCTGCCATTGGCCCTCGGCAGACTATACGTCTGCCTCGCTATCCTCGGCGGGTTCCTCCACAAAGATCTCGGACCCCGACGTGTAGGTTTCCGAGTCTGTGGACTCCTGCTCAGTCGGAAAGCGGACTCCGGACCACTTAGGCTGCGGAGCTCCCGGTGGCTTCTGCTTGGGCTTGAGAAACACCGGTGGGCCTTTACTGCTTTTGGCCACTTCCTCACCCGGCTTTTCCTCGGGCTGTCCCTTGGGCTGCAGCTTGAGCTTGGGCTGCAACTTGACCTTTGCTGCAGGCTTTCCGGATGCTGTCTTGGGCACAGGTGGCGGCTTCTTCGCCGCGGGCTTGGGGTTCACTGCAAGGGCCTTTGATGCAGTGGTGACAGCAGCAGGTGCGATAGGCGTCGCGCCCTTCGCGCCCTTGCCTTGGCTCGCGATGCGCGCCGCACGCTCCAACACCCACGGGTATTGGGCGCGGTGCCTCTCGTCGCACGAGCTGCAAGCCTTTGCTAGGCTGTCACGGGCCAACACCTGGGCCCTGATCGCTGCCTCTACGGCAGCTCCGGCTGTTCCTTGAGCCGGTGCTTTGCTCTCGGCAATTTCCTGAGCGATTGCCGCGTTCCTCAGGCGGTAGTTGCTGGCCAATGCAGACTCCGGGGTGGCTTTGCCTGCACGCACTCTGCGCCTGCCTCTTGCGTGGCTAGCGCCACACTGATCACGCGGCCTGCAGACTTCGCCGCGGCTGCCACCTCCGGCAGCAATGCAATTGGCTCAGCGCCCGGTGCTGCTGCCTCCTCAGCTGCTGCGGCTGCTTTGGCAGTGGGCTCCTCCTCCTCCTCCGAGGTGCTTCCACTGGTCGGCCTTCTCTTACGGCGGGTCAACTCCCGCTTAGGCCTTTGCCTTGGACCACCTGGAGGGGACTTTGGCTGCACGTTCCTGCCAAAGCCTTTGGGGACAGGCACCTCGTAGCCGTACTCTTCTTCAAACTTATCGAGGGCTTCCTGGACTGCAGGCGGGATCGGGTTATTGCGCTTCAAGTTCAACTTGACCAAGCCCCGCAAGAACCGGTAGGACCTCGCCTCCTTGGACCGGCGTCCGTCCTTCCACTTGCCGGCTGAGTTCTCCTTCACGCGGGGCCAGGGCGCCTTGCTCTTCTTCTTCTTCTCGCCCTTCTTGCCTTTGCCCTTTCCCTTGCCTGCTTCTTCGGGCTTCTCCTCAGCTGCTGCAGGGGCCTCCTCCTCTGATTCTACTTGGACCTCCTCTTCCTCAGCTGCTGCTTCTGCTGCTGGTGCTGGTGCTGTGCTGCTGGCAGCCTCCGGATGCGATGAGGACGGGGCTGCCAGGGCGATCAAAGGAGATCGCCAGGTGCCCCAGGCGTCCGAGTCCGACGCTGAAGCCTCTGTGGATCTATTGACGATCCACCCTTTGCGCGCCGGCTTCTTCGGCTCTGGGGGCTTATCCTCTCCCTTCTTTCTCTTCTTTGGTGGCTCCTCTGGCTCCTCTGGCTCCTCCAGCAGCTTAGCTAAGATCCTCTCTGTCTCAGCTGCCTGCTGGGCAACGCTCTCCTCGTTGGGGGACCAATCTGGTCCCGAGGCCAATTCTTCTGGCCCCTCTTCAGCTCCTCCGAGCTGCTCAGGCCCGGTCTCCTCCACCGGGGCCTCTTCGGGCAGCTCCTCGGTCTCTGGCACGACCGAAGCGCCCTCCTCGCCTGGCGGCTCTACCGCCGCCGGGCTCCTGCCGCGTCCGCGGCCTCCCCGCCTCCAAGGCGGTACTGATCCACGCCCTCTGCTGGCGTAGTACCAAATTGAGCGCTTAGGTCCCTCTGAACCTTTACTGCTCCCCGCTATGAAAATCTAATTGGCCGCTTCGGAGCGCCTTATTTTCTTGAGCCAAAACATGTCAGTAGTCTCAACTGTACAACTGTATATGACAACATGCGTATTGGGCTACATATTTCAACACAAGGTAAGGTTTATAGAACGGCAGTTGTTTTGAACATTCGGTAAGCTGATCGTTTGATTCTTGGTCAAGTGTTGCTATTGTCCGCGCTGAAAGCACCCTTTGGATGCTTCGAGGCCCGCCCCAGAACGATCTGAAAGAACACAAGGCAAACCACCAACACACTCAAGCCTCCCCCGCAGAATGATACCGAACGAAGCATGGTCCTACAAATGGAATTCTAGGAGTCACCCCCCCCCCCCCTCCCCAAATTCCGTGGTGGTGGGGCTCTCCCCAAAAACTCAAACGTGCCAATCGTGTTTCTGAAGTGCCGACGAGTGCAGGCTGAGGGTTCCGCTCCTTTCGCCCATTTTAGGTTGTTGACCCGACTGACCAAGGGCAACTGCCTCGTTTTGGGCTTCTGAAGTTCTCGTCTTGGGCTTCTTGATGCCGACCTTCCACACAATCGCAGAGGCCACCTGACTTACGCGGGAATACCAACCATGCCAACTGCTTCGCTTTTGTTCATGGCGACGCC